GTATCTGGATTGAGCCAAATCGGAAACATATGGAACATTAAGGTCTTTATGGATGATTTTATTTGTGACAAAGTAAGGAGCGTTGAGGATTTTACGAAGGATTTTGGATTGGAAGGATTGGAAGCGAGAGGAATTCGATGGTTTAGTGGATCCCCAAAGCTCAATTCGGTAAGTCCAAATAGGTCTTATTATTGTCATATATATGAGTCGTTTGTAATTGATTGAAAGCTTAGAGCATTTGTCTAGTAGGTGCTGCAGTAGTCGAAAACGTCAGGCGGTTTCTAGTCGTTTCAGTCTGGTATGGGTGTGCTAATAATTTATATTTATAATCTGTGGGGACAGATTGTATATTTATAAATAATACGATGTGTTCTTATAAAAATATATTTAATGAGCAAATACGACATATAAATACAGTATAGAGACATCTATTTGGAAATTATCGGATTCATCTGATGAAATGAACCTCTTAACTGGAACAAACCGGCAGTATTACACGAGGCCTGCGGCTATTCCAGCTCCAGAACTAACCGGTCGGCGGGCTGACGGTTTGGCTGGAAGTTACGTGACTTCCATACTCCAGCACTACACTTTGTACCACACTCTGGAGAAATCATCCCGGCCCAGGATCGAATTACTCTGCTCTACAGATGTGATCAAAATCTTGGGATAGAGGCAGAGTAGAAGCCTAATATTATCTGATTGTTTTAGCAGTAATTTATTTTTAGCTTCGTCATGTTCAAGAAGAAGGAATTGCTTATTTATTAATCTACAACTTAAACGTTAGATAAGGGAACTTTTCGTCACTCGATCTTAATTAAAAAAAAAAATAAAGCAACATGGATAATGTTTTGTAGTCAACATCATCGTGATACATTAACAGATATGAGATTATTCACTTTCGTACCACATTTCCAAAAAAAAAAAATGTAATTAAAATATTACATCTACAGTGTCTGCAATATTAAATTTATTTATAATTAAAAAAATAGGAACTCTTTAAAATTAAAACATTTATCATTTTTATAAAAATTTCTTTTGTTCGAGGACTTTTTCATATCCCAACATTTGTTTTATTATGGTATATATAATAAAAAAAATGACACGAGATTCACCAAAATTAAATCTTAATAACAAACTTTGCTTTAGCACCAGTTACGCGGTTGAGAGAGTAGCGCAGGGATCTCTAGGAGTCCTGCTTTTCTTTCTCTAGTTGGGGGAGAAGCCTAGCTTGGGTTTCCCTACCTAATTGTATATATTAATGACTGTGTTTTTAACTTACTTATCATTAGATTATTTTATTTTTTTATTGTACATAGTTTTTGATTATTATTTTACTTGCCTTAATTTTATATTTTTGTAGTAAATGTGTTCATGTATCACTATAAACTATTATCCACGTGATCGATAAAAAAGGTGGCCTAAAAAAATATTGAGCCGTTTGTCCTATATAATATTTCTCCTCGTTATTTTGAAAATTTGGAGATCTATATCACGCTAAACGCCTCAATATTTTCAAGGCCACTTTTTTTATCTATTTTGTGATCAAATTATCTTACAATCCAAGTAGAAATCAAATGGTTATATAAAAGTTTTTAGTACTGAATTAAATAGACAAAGTTTGCCTTCCTCCAGATTGAAAACGCCCCAATTCCAAGAGTTTTCGTAAATAAAATAGTTGTAGATTACGATAAGATTAAACTATCTACGAAGTTTCAGGTGGATGTTAATAATTCAATAAAAAGTGTATTATTAATATTGATAATGAGATTTTTTTTTGCAAATAATTTCAGGATGATTTTTAAAATTAACGGCTGTCCAAAGCGTTGTCCATGTTAATAAATACTGAAAAGTTTTTAGAGTCTTAATTATTTTTTTAAATTAAACTTATTTTATGAGAATTTTTTTTAACTCTTGACTTATTCGAATCATCCGTTCTATATTAAATATTAATTATACTATATTTTATAATATAATTAATATTCCTTCCAAAAATCTTTCTTCACCACTGGAACAGATTATCTCACATGGAGTCATTGTGTCTTTTCATTGAGGGACGATTTCACGGTAGAATTAGCTAATGGAAAGGAGAAACGAAGCAATATGGTATAAATTCAAAAGGGAAAACTCCCACCTTAGAATTTTAGATGGCTCCTTTCTGATATATATAATTTATTGGAATATGAATTATCAACTGACAAGATATGCTACAGATTTTCCCTAATGGAATGGGTTAGCAACAGTTCTTATTTCCATAATTGCTATTGAATACAGTTTGATCTTTGGTGAATAATTTCTATCGATTTCCATAATGCATATTCAACTAGCTCATCATCAGTAAAGCACTAAAAAGGAAAACATTGCTAAAATACTGAAAAGGACTTACAAAATGTTTGACCAAAACGTTTTCAAACTATGGAGTATAGCTGAACACAGAACTGTTTTAGAATAAGTTATGGTGTGCGTCACTAATGAATAATTCCAATTATTATTAAATTGAGTAAACGTTTTGGGCTATATTTAGGTCTTCATCAGGGTGACAGGCATCCTTATAAAGGACTAGGCGCCTTTACTGTAAATTAGTCTTGCTCGATCCGACATTTTTGTTTATTGAACTTCAGTAAATAAAAACTATTTATTATTACTTCTAAATTGAAATCCTGCTTAGGGTCTTCCGCTATGCCGTATTATGTACGAAATATTTTACTCAATATTTTTATTTCCTAAGTAATTAAGGTTATAAGACCGTCAGCTATATTACTAAAAGGGGTGAGATGGCCGAGCGGGCAAAATTGTGTTCAACAGATAATTTGATAAAAAGAGTTCCTGTCTCATTGCCGGGGAGAGTGACTTATATCTCAGAAATCTCAAGTATTTTATGTCCCCCGCCCTCACCCTCTGGCCCGGAAAAAACCTGTATATCTTAAAAGGCAAGGGAGTGGATGGCATAAAAAATAACTATATTACTGGATAAAAGCTCTAAGTAATATCTATACCATATCGATTTTTTTTATTTATGAAATTTACAACTGTACATTTAATATACATTCAGCAAATGTGATACAGATAAATAATACATGACATGACAAGGATTGTAGAGAATCTACCCATTGGTATCACTCTAATTAAGTTTCTAAATTAAGAGATCTCAAGGCCATCTTTTTTTCAGACGCATAGAAGGATTATCAGGGATCGAGGAGGAAGCAAGGTTAGAAACGATACCAAATAGATAGATGTGGAAAATGCTTGGTAACGTTACTAAAGACAAAAAAAAAAGTAAAAAGAGTTACAGAAACCGAAAAAGAAAAAAAAAATAGAATCGGTTTTCTTCTATAATAAATTCTAAAATCATAAGAAAGCATTTTAAAAATACAGTAAACAGAAGTTAAAAAGCAAACTTCAAAATAATAAGTGGAATAACGTACTTAATCTGCTAAAAGAAACATAGGGTCTTGAGCGCTTGGTGATCATGAAATTAAAATTACGGTAAACTATTTCTATACGATATTTACTTTATTCAGCAAATAACTTACCTTAGAATATGTTCAATTTCCTTTTTGTGTCCTTTTCACCATGTGTTTTTGTCGGTACCGACTTCGTAAATTCTTCCTCAAATGATTTAGCCCTTATTTTTGAAAATCTTCTTTTCCTTCATGTGGGAAAAATGTTCAGACCTCTCTTCAATTACACGAAAAAAGTTATGAAGGAAAAGAAACTTTATTTGCGAATTACCCAAAAAATTTACATTTTTTTTGGTTTGTCGTACCCATCATCATTTGGGAAATCACCGAATTAATTAAGATATATTTCAAATTTGAAATAATTTGTAACGACCGAAAGAGGGTTAATATATATATTTTTTTTAAATGGGAGAGAGTTGAGATTGGTATTTTGCACCTCGAAAAACGCTCAAATATATTTTTTTTAGAAATTAAAAGATTAATTTTGTTTGCATCGAATTGGAGTATAGGCTTTTGAGAGCCTTTGGATTTTTTTTCAAAAATTACAAAAAGTATTTTCAAATTACTAATACGTTATTAAAGTAAGATAACTTTAACATGCTTTCACTTATTAACACGAAAATATCAAGAATTTAGGGCCACATAAACTAAATAAAATGACATAAATCTTACCTTTATAAACATATATAAAATTATTAACTAGATATATAAAATTAAAACGTATAAGGAATTTTTATTTATTCGTTGTAGAGATATTAAATCGAAATGTTTTTGTAACATTGAATTACCAGAAAATCCTGAGCAGATATAAATGTTTTAGTGATCGAAAAGGAAGAAAAATCTAACTATATGGTAAAATGGCTAGTACGGTAACCAGCTCAACACAGCACTACTATCGTAAAAAATTAACAAAATTATAATAATTTACTGTTATATTCGTAATAATTTTGGCTTAAAACATTTTTAAAACAATTTTTTTTTTTATTTAGAAATATAATAATCTGTCACGTGAACAATAATTATAGAACACATTCACACCATATATAAAGAAAACATAAAATTAACAAAAGTAAAATAAATTATAATAATCAATAACTATATACAATAAAAATAAAAGAACCTAAAGTTAAGTAAATTAAAAACTCAGTCATACCTATATACAATATATATGATCAGGTAGGGAACCCCAAGCCAGGCTTGTCCCTACTACTATATAGGGAAAAGCAGGACTTCAAGAGATCCCTGCGCTACTCTCTCAACCGTATCACATGTGCTAAAGCCAGTGGAGATTGAGCGAAAGCGCTTTATAAAACATGAATAAAGTTTTATAATGTTTTTCTTTTCTATAGTCGATTACAATCATCGAACGAATAGGAAATAATGTCGTCTTTAATTTGCTCATTATTTTTTATTTGTTCACTGACCAGTATTCATTGATAATTATTCGCCCTTAACAACTAGTAATATTATAAAATAAATATATGTATAAACATTTTCCTGTCTATGTTCTATACGGAATAGATTGAGAGGTTTTGGAATATGAGACGACAGAGGTGTGTCTTCAAACAGAATTCCAGGATTTGGGAACATAATTTTCCAGGCCACCCTATACCTTGGGAAATCCAGAGGTTTTCCTCGTTGGTTATATATTGTGGATTCAAATAGAACAGAGGGTGTAAATCAAGCGACACCTCCTCGGGAGAGACGGGACGACGTCGCTCTATTAGGACCTAGCTACAAGAGACGCCCGAGGGACGACAGCTGGACTGTCCCCCGAAGACTCGAGGCCTAACAAGCCCCCACCTCGTCCCCACCCCCGGGCGATTGCCTAGTTAATATTCCTAGCTGGCACAATCCTACGCTCCGTTTAACCAGTATTTGCATTATTTAACTACCTGCCCTCTCAGATCGGCCCTGGATCTATTTGCTCCCTCCATTTCCTCTCCTCCTTCCCCCCTTCCCGATTATTTATTCATAACTCGTCTTGGAAGAGATATGGTTCCCTTAACTCTTTTCAACGTATTGCCTCTCTCCTTAAAAATGGATAGATATTGAAATAGCGTTCGTATCGGCTTGGTGTATATTAATGCCTCTACTGATTATTTAGTATTGGAATTAGAATCAATATCCAATACAAATAAATTCTCTCTGAATCAAAACTCAGCTATATTAAAATTAAATTCTTCTTCGGCCTAGTTTAAAAACAAAGGTATGTGTATATCATCTTTTATTTATTTACATTTTCTCCTTCTATCAAAATCATTAAATCAACTACTTCTTCTTTCAAACTTATTTATTCAGAAATATTACAATTTGTCTCAATTAAGGACATTTATTATAATGTTCAGAGAGCACGTTCACACTGTATGTACAATAACTCAAAGATAATTTAACTACTGCTAATACATCAATAACAGATACAATTTTACAGTTGTTTATCATAAATTTAGGAAATTAGAAAATATTTATAGTTAAATATATACAAGTATAATTAACCTAAAATTAGAAACATTTAAATTACGAGTGAAATTAAAGTGGAAAATTGAAGATAAATGAAGAAAAGTTGACAAAAATTATAAGAATAAATTTCAACAATTAAAATTTAGAAATGAAAATACACAAGAAGAAAAGTTAATAGGTATAATTAAAAATTAAATGTTAAAGGTAAAAATTAAAAAAGTTAACATCAACAATCAATATCGAAAGTTAAAGGTAACATGAATAAGAGTTAACAGGTACAGTTTAAAAATAAAAAAGTAAAAATTACTAGAAGAAATGTATAAAGTGCTATTTAAAATCAAATGTTAAAAATTACTAGAAGAATTCTATTGCAACTCAAATTTAAGCAATTGTTTTACCATGCAGTTGAAGAGATTGGTCATGGATACATGACATTGGTCATGTGTTAGATAGTCGAATTTTCTTATACAAATCTAGTGAAAATATATGATAATTTATACTTGAAAATGGCTCACGAAAGGAAAACATTGTAGCGTTTACCGTCAACAATAATAAAGTATAGTTACATAAAACGAGTTTCTATTCATGATCTTTGTCCGAAAATCATTTAGATAATAAATATATGATTTTTTTTTTTATTGTAAGTCAGAAATATGTGTAGCAAATAAATATTTTTTTCTTACATTTAGCTGTATGCCTTAATTATTATTATGCGTTATAATTTAGAAAGAGGACGTAAATAATTTTTTTTAAGTACCTAGCCCAAAAAACTCTCATAAACCGATATTGATTAATAAAAACAACATTTTTTTTCATTGTCTTTCTTATACTTTAAGATTACATTTATTTATTTTTTCTAAGAATCATTTTGGTTCGTTGAACCGTACTTAGAGGTGCCATTTCAATTTTTAAAATATTACATAATTATTTATATTATAATGTTATAATTTATTTTATAATTTATAATTTATATTAATTTATTTAATTTATAATTTATCATTTTACATACCTACTATTAATTTGGAAAAGAAAAAATATATATATGGTGATATTTCTTAACCTTATTCTGTATTTTCTACAGGTCGGTTGGTTGAAGGCGGAGGATCAGACAGTTTTGACCCTTCATACCAAAGTCGTAACCCACAACGCAAGAATCTCCGTAAGTCACGACAACGAACGTGTCTGGAGGCTTCACATCAGACAACTGCGCGAGACAGACCGTGGCTGCTACATGTGCCAAATCAACACCAGTATCATGAAGAAGCAGATAGGTTGCATAGATGTACACGGTGAGTGCATTTTATTATTTTCTATAACTCTCAATTTCATGGATTTTTTTTTTAAATACAGGTTTATTACTCCTTCTGCTAATTATGTAACAAAAGTGCGAATCAATATTTGAAGTTAAAAATTAAAATACGATTTAGGCATCAATTGCGCATCTAGTCTAAATTTAAGAGGCGTTGAACCAAAGATCTCTTTCCTAAAACAATCTAAGTAATTGAACCAAGTCAGAGAAGAGGTTCTGCTGATTAATGCCCTTTCCCATACTTGTATTGTCATTATTACTTGTATTTTCAGAACATTTGTTGATTTTCAACAATTACAGAGACCAATACATTGTTATAACCATAAAAATATATATTATGGCTAGAATATTTACCCAATAAAATATTAAAATATACTCAATTATTATAGACTTAAAGCCTATCAAACAACGAAGTTTTCCTAAAAGTAAGATAACTCATTTTTAGGAAAACTTCCTAAAAGTGGGGTATCTGTAGTATAAGTTTGATAATGATAAAAAAAAAAAATCGTAAATAATTTATGATTTTTTTTTTAAAACACAACTCAACTTAGTTTAGTTGCTCAAAAGTCCTCGTTAAATGGTTTTAATAATTATACAATCTATTTACATTTGAAGCATTTTTTTTCTAGTTTACATCAATTCAGTTGTTAACTACTTAAATTAAATATTTCTATAGTTGTCGCTTTCTGTTCAACAAAAACAAATGACATTTAAAAACGCAGAATACTATTATTTCCTACTTTTTCCCTCTAAATTTCCCTCTGCTTACAGGACACACAGTATAAAAAAACAAAAACCACTAGAATTCATGAAGGTTCTTGGGTTCAGTACTTTGTGAGGAGTACTCTCGTAAAAAATGCTGGTATATAAAAAGAGGAATATATAAGAGTAGGAAAAAATATGGAAATTTCCAATTTCGACCATTTGGCGACACTAGTTTTTTTTAATTCACTTACTTACACCTTGGTATTTTATATGTTTTTAAAACTTCTACTTTATTTATTTTTAATGAAAATGGCAACCTTATAATATTTTCTCTATGCAGTTTCACTAATCTACCGTCATGTGTTGTCCTGGTTTTGATTCCTGTTAGTGCCTGAATTAAAGAAATGTTTACTGTGATATTTTATAGCGCCTCTGCTCATCCTCTACTGGTTTTTATATCAGTAGTGCGGCTAAGTAAGGGGCGCTGGGATCTCCTAGAGTCATGCCTTTCTTTCGACAAGTAGGGAGAAAGGCTTAGCTTGGAGATCTTGAGTGAATGATTTTTTTTTATATTGTATAGAAGCATGTATGTATTTCAGTAGTTATTTTCATTAGCCTAGTTTCTATTTTTGTTTATTTTAGTTTATATACATTTACTTTTAATATTGTTATTTTTCTGTATTTTTTTATTTTTATTTATTGCGAATGGAGTGTGAATGTGCTCTTTGAACACTATTATAAATGTCCTTCATTGTGACAGATTGTAATATTTCTCAATAAATATGTTTTTTTCATCATAAAAAAAAATCATAGTTGTGGTCGAAGGAATTGCATCAATTAATACTTTTGCTTCTTATGTTGATTCCATTGGTTGTTTTTGTTTTTCTATATTTATTTGGATGACAGGAAAACTTTAACAATCTTCTTCAGTTCAGTTTTAGCTAATGTCAGGATAAAAGCTATAATTATGACCAGTTTCAAAAAACTACTCTCTTCAGAAAATATTTAAAATTGTGACGTTACATGAAGTGAAAGAATTTTCACGAAAAATATTAACGAAGATAGAGTACCAATCAACGGTAGTCATAGTTTTGGAGAAAAAAAAATTAAGCCGCATGGAGCAAAAGAAAAGAACTGAAAAAAAATTAACAATTTTATCGCTTAGTAGTGATGTTGTTTTAAAAATATTATTTCATAAATGGCAAAGCTATTTTGCAGATTTAACAGCAATCTGTAGTGTTGCCCAAAATCGGTCTTGGTCTTACACTTTGTAAGACCAAGACCAAGGCCGCCTAACTTACAAGACCAAGACCAGTGACTCGTAAAAAAAAAATCGATTTTTTCAATAAAATTTAACGCAAAATAGTTACTAATACTAGATAATCTTAGTTACTGTATGTAAATAATTGGTATAACCAATATAATTTTGCATTTAACTCCTTTAATTTTTCATTCGAGCTTAGTTAGGTTTCTCTTCTCTAAAAAATTATAGTAATATCTCTATAATAGTAAGGTAGTTAGTAACTGCAAGACCATTGCGAGACTCTTGCGCAAGACCAAGACCATAATCGAGACTAAGTTTGCAAGACCAATACTTGTCTCGGTCTCGCATTTGGGCAACACTAGCGATCTGGTAAATCAAATAATTTTTTTACTGGATGGTGCAATTTACATGATTACGACTGTAATTCTCACGTGGAATTCTTATGGCTTTGGTTTCGAAAATACTGATATTGAACTTTTTACCAGTTGATCAGCTGCTAATTTGGGCTAATACCATTTTTTTTCGAGACAGGTGTAAATGGATATCCACCTACGACAGAGCCGAACTGAGATATTTCGGATCGAAATATAAGGGCTCCAAGGATAATGATGGAAACCGGAGAAGAGGAAGATGAAAAGAAAGGAAGGGTGGAAAGATGAGAAAGTTTGAGAGTTTCATTACCCGTCCCCGGGCAGAGAACTAATATCCACGGGTCTTCATTATTAAACGGACCGAGTATTCTTAAAAGGGCTGGCAAGGGAAATGATTAATTTATTGCCCTGATACCCGCCTAGCTCATTAAGGGTTAATATCAAAACATCTGATGGATAACGGCCTTCATAATCTCATTCTATGTAAGGACTCTTAAGGGCAAAGGGCTATAAGTCGATTATTTTTATTTATTTTTTTTAATTTATTCATGTTTCGCTACTCACCTCCACCTGACAGCAGTTTAACTACATATAACGATCCTTTGATTTTACACAAATTTAAACGGATATAACAGATTTATGGAGTGAGGTAGCTCAGTGCTAGGGAACTGATCTTCCAATACTCAAGGCTTCGGGCTCAAACCCTGCGTGGCCCCTAACTCCAGCAAATATCATCTTTTTCTCGTCAATTAATAGTATTTTTTCTAAAATTTGAAATTATTGAATATAATGATTTTGATTTCCTAGCTCTTTGATGACACTTAACAAAGTATATGGTTAGCTGCAAAAATGGCGATATTACTGGTGATATCGATATAGATAGTAATATGTTTGAACAAGAAGAGAAGTTTAGGTATCTAGGGTCTACGATAACTAGAAAAAACGAAATTGAAGAAGAGATTAAGGGTAGGCTGAAGGCGGGAAATGTTTGTTATTTTTCTTTGACAAAAATACTTGGCTCGCGCCTCTTGCTCCTGAACTTAAAAATTAGAATCTATAAAACCATTATGTTACGTACAGTTCTTTATGGACGCAAAACGTGGGAGCTTACATTAAGGGATGAGCAACGTCTTAAGGTTTTTGAAAATAAAATATAAGAATATTCGGACCGAAGAAGGATGAATTAACCGGAGTGTTCAGAATGTAACACTACGCCGAATTGCGGGAACTGTATCCGGGTAATATAATTGAGGTGATATCATTCCGGCAAATCAAGTGAGCTTGTAAAGTTGGTGGGCTTAGTAACGAGAGAATTCCTAAAAAGCTATTTGCTGTACCGAAATATAAACGTCCGTGTGGTAGACCGAAGCGAAGGTGGGAAGATTAAAACCGATCTGAAGGGACTAGGCTTGGACGGCGAACGGTAAAGGTGTGTAATAGGAGATTGGTGGTGTCGGCATCGAACCTTCGGGTTCACTAAGCCTTATATTAATATTATTATTATTATTGTCTTTTATATAATTTAGAGCATGCAGAACTATCATTGATTGTTGTTGAAAGTGTACATGTTGCTGATTCGATAGCTCCAGTTCGATGATGTTGGCTCTGAAATTATGTACTATTAAATACTATTTTTTTTTGTCAGTAAAAAATATATTTGCGCCTGTCAACTTATTGTTGACAATCAGCAAATCTGATGGCGATACATGAATTAATGACATGACGAGCATAGGGAAGGAAAGTACTCAGCAGTACCTCTTCCTTAACTTGTTTTAATTACTTAGGTTGTTTAAGGAAGGAGATCCCTCTTCCAACGCCTTTTTAGTCTCCTCCTCGTGTTTTGAGATATGTCAGTTGTGACCATGTCTCTTATTAGTCTGTTATTATGTTTATTTAAATTTGTGTGAAATCGTTGATAAAGGGTCGTTATATGTTAGTCAACTGTTGGAAAGTGGAGGTCAGTATGTAGAGTTTTGTTAGTCACGTACCAAGGAGCTTTTGTTATGAGTCGCAATCATTTTAATTGGAATGTTTGAAGTTTTTTTAGGAGGGTCTTTTTAGCGATGCCGTATATTTGTGATGAGTATGTCCATGTGGGCTTAAGTAAATATATATTCAGTTTCTTTTTTAGTTTTGAAGATTCAGAAAAAAGAGTGTAAAATAGTTTAAGTCGTTTCTTTGTTGTCGTCTGTTGAAGGTGAATCCAAGGTAAAGTACCGTGTCTGTTTGAGGAATTTGTTTGTTGTCATAATAAAGTGGAGGGTAGGAAAAATACTATTTTTAATTATTTTTTTTTTCATTTTTATTCAACTTTTTGCTCTTATGATATGAATGACAATCTCTTACAATTCTATTCCATTCGTATTTTAAAAGTCGTAGAATAGAATGAAATAAAAAAAAAATAGATTGCATTTATGGAATGGAATGAGTCTTTCTTGTATACATGAGTAATATTATTATTTCTTTCAAGTATGGCATATCATATTGTCTTTCTAATAATGCTCCCTTCTTACAAAAGGTACTCCAAGAACCTTTGCCAAGTAGGTACACAACTGTATTCCTCGCCGGTTCCACGTATTGAATTCATCCTCCCACCCCCAACCACCACTTGAGCTGTATGTTATATTGGCACTTGAGGAGGGGATATGAATACGGAATGACGGGCAGCGCAATTGCGCTCCAATCTAATGATCCACCTCTCCCCCCCCCGCACCTGGTGGCTCATATTTATGGATCTGCTATGGAATCGTTGGGTTACCATATCACGTAGTACTCATATAACGTTAGGCAGTATTTTAAAAATTGTAAAAAAAAAATCTAACCAAAGTAAATAATACTAATACCTGGAATTTCGAACCTTTTTTGTATGTCGGTACAGATTTTCAATTACATACGTTTCAATAAAGATCATTTTCATTCAAGTTTTTATATAAATCGATAATAAATAAATTTTATATAATCGAAAAATAAATATGAACAATTAAAACAAGTTTTAATTTTTTTTTATTCTATTTATTGAATAATAATACAATCAGCCACTGCTGGAGGGATATAAGCATTAGGGCTAAAAGTTCTCATTCATACAATATATACAAATAATAAACAAATAAATATAAGAAGTAAATAAACAATACTGATGAAGAAGGTAACTAAAAAAAAAAAATAAACAAATAAAATAAAATAGAAACTTCTAAACACATTCATACCTATATACAATATATACATTCGCCCAAGAATCTCCGAGCCAGGCTTTTTCCCCCACACGTGGAAGGCAAAGCAAGACTCCGGAAGATCCCAGTGCCACTTTTCCAGCAGCATCACTAGTATTAGAAGCCAGTGGAGACTTAAAGAGGGCACTTTTAATTTAAAAAAAAAAAGTGAAATAGGAAATAAATGAATTAGTAAAAATTAATCAAATCTCAATAATTATCCTCTCAACATATAGATTTATATATTCCCTCCTATAAAACCACTTCAGTAAATCCTTCGTCATTCGTTCTACCTCCTTCTGAAACTCCTTACCCATCTCCATACGTCAAACCACGTCCATAAACTCCTTCAAACAACTCCTATTCCACTATATACTACAAATTCAAACTTCAGCAAGTTTGTAAAAAGTTCTGGGTTATATAATTACGTTGATATTTATTCACTTTTCTTATATCTCAGTAATTGTTGTATATATTTGTGTTTTTCCTTAGTATTTTTTGTAGATATTTATATTTTCCTTTGTATTTTTTTTTATATATATAATACATAGTATCTTTAAATATATTTATATTTACAATTTCCTAAGTATTTTTGTATGATGTCTGAATGCCAGTCTAATGTACATATTTTTTTAACTCTACTATTATTCTAAGGGGACTTCAGTCCCAGAATTAAGTTATTTTTCATTTCATTTCATTAATTTTTTTGTATTCTCTGAAATAGAATCGTTATTTTTGTAAATCAAATTCATGAGCCAAATAGTTAGATTATGCTAGGACTTATTGAAAATAACCATTTAAGATTGTTTTTCATGGTAAAAAAAAATAGTGCACATCTTGAAAATTGATTTTAACATAAACTTGAGGGTGTCCCGTAAGTTAATTGAAATAAGAGATGATAATTGATCCAAAGAGCTGCAAAAAAAAAATCATTTAAACTATGGCCTCATTTTTCGCATTAAAAATAAAAGTAGGACATTTAAGTTTCGTATTTAAAAAAGTCATATTTTTGTTGAACAGGAAGCTTTAAGTACAAACATAAATATTTAAAGGCTGTGTAAAAATATAAAAAATTTTGCTAATACTAACCTCTTGAATTGTATGAATAATATGTTTTTCGATCAACTAAATATTTTCAATTTATTCAGAAAATAGAATAAATTTTATACTCATTTGTCTATAATTAATTTATAGCATGCTCTCTATGTTTTAATCTGAGAACTTAGTTTTGATTAAATTATTCAAAATACATATTTAATCGATTAATTAATGGAAGGAGATTGGTTAAAAGCCTACTCGATAATTCACAAAATGAGATGCCTGCTTCCTGGAAAATCGCTTTCCTCCCATTGAATATTCAAATCGAATATTGTTGAAACAAGATGTCGATAGTCAGCATTTATACCAATTTACTTAGAAACAAATAGTTTTTTTTTTGTACATTTTTAAATAATTAGACAGATCATTCTATATAACCAGCAAGGCATTGTACCAAGACCTAAAAATATCACTCCTAATATATACGTTACAGTAAGTAACATATTTGTTGTAATAATGTAACAATTCTAAATATATTAAATTCACATGACTAGAATCTATGGTGTTGAAATTATATGAAACTTTTTCTGTAACATTCAATGTAACATTTATTTTTCAATTTCTTTATTCTTCAACCTTTATCTTTATCTGTTAACCTACAGTTATCAAATTTAACCTAAACTATACCAGTTTGGTATCCATTCATTTCTTATCTTTTATCACAGTCTATTTACATTTAATTTACACGCTGTATTCACCTTTGTTTTCTATTTTTATTCACACTTATTTTTTATTTTTGTCTCCCACTATATCTCTGATTTCATCTTATTATTTCTTTATCAGACAACTGTTTCTTATTTAATATTTACGTAAAATTCATTTATTTTATTTTCACCACCTATCTTTTATAGTTTGTATGTTTTGTAACAGTCGTCAGGGTACGAAGACCTACAGAATAGGTCGAAACGTCCACGTAGCAATTAAAATATTATTTTAATTATTTATTACTTATTTGA